AAGTTCACAGATGCTGCTGATGCTGCTAGTCTGTTGCCCACACTTTGGGAACCACTGCCTTAGGGTGAGGTGAAGAAAAATGGTATCAAAGAAAGTCAGCAGAAATATGTTATCATGTTTGCCATGTTTGGCTTCTTAAGCTAGTGGTGATTGTGTGGGTGTGATTATTTTCCACATTATCTTCTTATAGTAATAAAATATTTCCACACAAAAAACTAATGGATGGAATGTATAACATTCTGGACACTGCTGCCTTAATACTTACACATCAGCTGATAACTCAGAGTTTGGAAGAGTAACATGGTAAAATCAGACTTATTTGAAATAGGTATGTTAAGATATATTTTGGTAGGTTGAATGATTAACAGTATAGACCAGAAATTGTTACTACCTGTTAATAGTTTTCAGATTTTTCAAATTGCTTCTGTACTAAGATTAGTCACTTTTAATCAGAAATATTTTATCAAGTGTTTTCCCAGTAAGTTCTTCAGCTTAACATACTCTTCTACAATGATGTTTTGCTTTTTATTTATTTGTTTATTTTATTTATATTGAGGTATAATTGACCTAAAACATTACATTAATTGTAGGTGTACAATGGTTTGATACTTGTATATATTATGAGATAATCACCAGAAGTCAAAATCTGTATACATAGTTATAAAGTTTTTGTGTGTTGAGAATTTTTAAGATCTACTCTCCCAGCAACTTTTAAATATGCAATGGAGTATTACTAACTATAGTCACCATGCTGTACATACTTTCTTTTTTAAAATTTTTTTTTTTTCAACATTTATTTATTTTTGGGACAGAGAGAGACAGAGCATGAACGGGGGAGGGGCAGAGAGAGAGGGAGACACAGAATCGGAAACAGGCTCCAGGCTCTGAGCCATCAGCCCAGAGCCTGACGCGGGGCTCGAACTCACGGGGTGCGAGATCGTGACCTGGCTGAAGTCGGACGCTTAACCGACTGCGCCACCCAGGCGCCCCTGTACATACTTTCTTTTATATGTAACATATTTCCTGTGAAGTTTAGCAGTTTGAAACCTCAGGACCAGAGAATGTGCTCTTCTTTTAGTTTTCTGGAAACTTCTCCCTTTTAAGTCCAATTTGATCTGGTAAATAATTTATATTTTTCTTTATTTTTTTTTCTTTTCTAAAAAGTTTTAAAATTTTTAAATTCATTTTATTTATTTGTTTATTTTGTTAATTCAACTATAATTACCATATAGTGTTATTTTAGTTTCAGGTGTAAAATATGGTGACTCAACAATTCTATACATTACTCAGTGATCATCATAATAAGTACACTCTTAATCCCTTTCACCTATTTCATCCATCCCCCACCTATCTCCCCTCTGGCAACTACCTGTTTGTTCTCTATAGTTAAGAGTTTGTTTGTTTGTTTGTTTGTTTGTTTGTTTGTTTTGATTTGTCTCCTTTTTTCTTTGTTCGTTTTGTTTCTTAAATTTCACATATGAGTGAAGAATTTATATTTTTCTTTGCTTTCTAACTAATTGTCTTTTAAAATTCCTCTTACCTTACTGATTCAATTATGACATGCTCACATATTGTTAAATATGCAGATAACTGTTAGAAACTGTTTTACTTTCGGGTGCGCCTGGGTGGCTCAAGTCAGTTAAGCCTCTGACTCCTGATTTGGGCTCAGGTCATGATCTCACACTTCTTGGGATTGAGCCCCAAGTCGGGCTCTGTGCTAGGAGTGGAGCCTGCTTAAAGATTCTCTCTCTGCCTCTCCCTCCACCCTTATGTGTGCTTGCTCTCTCCCTCTCTCTCTCAAAATAAATAAACTTTAAGATGTTAAAAAAAAAAGAAAGAAAATGTTTTACTTTTGAATATTTTATGAGCCCTAGAATTTGAGTGACTTGCAAGTTTGTATAGCAATCCATGTATCAAAATTATGCATAGAATGAATATATTTTCTTTTTTTTTTAATTTTTTTTTTTAACGTTTATTTATTT